GGGTGGGGGCTTCGAAGGCTGCAGAAACCCTGCCAAGCAGCATTTGGCATTCTAGCACGCCTCCATGTGCCGGGGGGGGGCGGTGGCGGATATGTACCACAACAACCCACTCACAGGAGGAGAGTGATGGAGAGAGCGTACGAATGAGAGAGAGGGGTCCGACACACCTTGGGAGGGGAATCGGCACACGTGTTCGCAGTCACTGGTACAACTCCAACGTACGGTTAGAGAAGCAGGAGGAGGAAGATCACGAGGTCGAGGAAGAGAGTGGGGAGGAGGGGAGGGGGGGATGAGGAGGAGGAGGAATAGGAAGAACAAGGAGAGCAGGAGCAGACAGAGGAAGAGGATGATGAGGAGGACGACGACGATGATGATGATGCTGATTATGCTGCTGATGATGGTGTTGATGATGGTGATGACTGATGATGATGATGACGATGCTGATGCTGATGATGATGATGATGATGATGATGATGATGATGATGATGATGATGATTGTGATGATGATGACTGATGATGATGGTGGTGATGATGATGACGATGATGATGGCTGTGGTGATGATGATGACTGTGGTGGTGGTGATGATGATGATGATGATGATGATGATGATGATGATGGTGACGACGATGTTGATGATGCTGATGGTGATGGTGATGATGATGACAATGATAATGATGACGCTGATGATGATGATTATTATTCCCCAATCAGAGCTTGCCTCTGTAGGGGTCCTAGCGGATTAAAGGATTAGGTGAGAGGTGCGGCCGATTTCGGTGGCCGGGCCCGGGTGCCCGGGTGCCCGGGTGCCTGGCGGTGCCCGGGTGCCCGGGTGGCCGGTGAGGTGCGTGGCCGATTTCGGTGGCCGGGCCCGGGTGCCCGGGGGTGCCCAATAGCCCAATAGCCCAGTAGCCCTATAGCCCTATAGCCCTACAGCCGTATAGCCCTATAGCCCTGTAGCTCTATAGCCGTATATCCCTATAGCCCTAATAGCCTTATATCCCTATAGTTCCCCTATAGCCCCATAGCCCATATAGCTCTATAGCCCCATAGCCCTATAGCCCTGTGGCCCTCTAGGTCACAGTCCTGTAGCCCTATAGCCCTATAGCCCGATAGCCCTATAGCCCTATAGCCCGATGGCCCTATAGCCCTATAGCCCGATAGCCCTATAGCCCTATATCCCGCCCTATAGCCCGATTACAAAGGGAGCAATTGGAATATTAACAAAAATCTGATTGGGTTTTTTCTCCGGTATCATTATTAGTATTATCATGGTGATGATGATGGTGATGATGGTGATGGTGACGGTGATGTAGATGGTGGTGGTGGTGGGATGATAATGGTGATGGTGGTGGTGGTGATTATGATGGTGGTGGTGTTTGTGGTGGGATGATAATGGTGATGGTGATTGTGCTTGTGGTGATGATGATGATGATGATGATGATGATGATGATGATGATGATGATGATGACGGTGACGGTGATGGTGATGGTGATGGTGATGGTGATGGTGATGGTGATGGTGATGGTGGTGGTGATGGTGACGATGACGATGACGATGACGATGACGATGACGATGACGATGACGATGACGATGACGATGACGATGACGATGACGATGACGATGACGATGACGATGACGATGACGATGACGATGACGATGACGATGACGATGACGATGACGATGATGATGATGATGATGATGATGATGATGATGATGATGATGATGATGATGATGATGATGATGATGATGCTGATGCTGCTGCTGCTGAATATGATGATGATAAGGAGGAGGCGGAGGAGGAGGCGGAGGAGGAGCAGGAGGACGAGAAGGAGGATGGAGAGAGGGGGGCAAGGAGGGGGGAAGAAGGAGAGGGGAGAAGGACGATGATGGAATTCGAATGGAGGATGCACGGAGCAGCAGATGCTTCTGCGGTCATTGGGCCGGGCGACGTGACGTCGCTCGCGCAGCAGTGCGCGCTGTGTTGTTCAAAGAGTTGGTTCGAACATGTTGCTTCCGCCGCCCCCGAGAGCAGGATGGAACCCACGTGCGGGCTCGGGCGGGTCCAGGGAGAGAAGGAAGGAGAGGGAGGCCCGAGGCGAGGGAGAAGGAAGGAGGGGAGGAGAAGGAAGGAGAGGGAGAGAAGGAGAGGAAGGAGAAGGAGAGGGAGGCCCGAGGCGAAGGAGAAGGGAGGGGGAGACAACTGCATATTGAGGCCCAGCGGGTCCCCTGTGCCCGGCGCCATGGGGCGTTGTCAAACTCCGTGCACAGGCTGCTGGCCGCCCTCATGTCTCCTCCGCTGCCGCGGCCACTGGCGTCTGCCCAACGGGTGCTTTCCGCTGCGCTCCTGCCAGCGCGTCTGGCTGGAGTTTTCCCGCCGCTATGGCTTCCAAGAGCTTGCTGCGCTCTGGCACCTGCACGCTCCACTGGCACAACTTGGACGCCGCCGCAGCTTTCTGGGCCCCGCGTCCAGCAGGGGCCCACTCCTCGCCCCTGCCCCTGGGGGTCCTCCTGCGCGCCATCGCCGCTGCCGCCCGCCCGTGGCGCTGCGCGCATCGCAGAAGGCGGCCCAGACGGCTGCACGGATCCCGCGCCTTGAGCCAGGGTCCGCGTGGGTCATGGCGCCTCTTCTTATTTCAATGCATCCCCAGCGCCCCCACAGGGCTCATTTCGATTCTTCCGATTCGATTCGATCCGGTTTTGATGGCTTCTGATTCCGATTCGATTCGATGTCGGATGCCGATTTGGGATCCGATTTCTCAATGGAGGCCTGCTAACTTGCCGATTTTCGCCGATTCCACTTCTCCCGACTCGGCTGCCGATGTCCGCCGACCCGACTCATGTCGATCGCCGATCCGATTTGTCGATTCGATTCTGGGCTCGCCTGCCCCCCCCTGGGCCGCGCACATGCCGCCGGCCATGATTTGCGCCCCCCCCTCTTGGCCGCCCCCCCCGAAGGGCGGGGGGTTTGCCTAAGCTGGGGTTACCAGCTGGAGGCTCCCATTTTCCTCCTCCAGGGGTCCGTCCAGAGCGGTGTTTCCTCTCACCCTACCTCTTGCCCCGCCCCACCTTCTTGTGCGGAGGCGGGGATTTATCCGTGACCACCGTCTGGGGGATCGATCTCCAGGGCTCTCGGCGAGCGGTGGGTACGGATTTACGGTCGGGAACTTGTGGATAGCGTGTCGCTCCGCCAGCTCTGGCCCACGGCGCCTCGGTGCGACACGCTATCCGCGTCGCGGTCCCCAGGCGTCAAAGCCCCGAGTTCTTCTGAGCATCCCGCCCCGCGAAGCGGAGCGCCACGCTCTCCGCCCGCACGGCACAGCGTGCCGCCGGGGCCGCCGTGGCGACACGCTGAGCAGAAGCCCCCCCAGAATTCCCGCCCCGCATGTCACGCCGCGCGCGGCCCGCTTCGGCCCGCGCCCCGCGGGGTCGGGCTTGGGCCCGCGGCTGGGAGCCCTTCCCTGCCACACGGCGCCACCCTCGGCGCAGCGCCGCTGCCGGTCGCCGAGCGTGCCCCGGCCTCGGCGTGAGCGTCTGCGGAGGGCAGGCTCACCCGCCCTGCGGCCGTGCTCGCAGGAGCCGTCGCCCAAGCTCACGCTCGGGAGGCCATCGCCCAGGCCAAGTCCGGCCTCCGACCAGACGGGCCCGCGCGCCGGGCGGCCTGACGGTAAATGGGAACGGGCTCGGGCCAGAGCGGTTACGGAGGAGGAGGACGGAGAAGAGGACGGAGAAGAGGAGGAGGAGGAGGAGGAGGAGGAGGAGGAGGAGGAGGAGAAGCAGGGGGAGAAGCAGGAGGAGGAGGAGGAGGAGGGAGAGGAGAGGAGAGGAGAGGAGGAGAGGAGAGGAGAGGAGAGGAGAGGAGAGGAGAGGAGAGGAGAGAGGAGCGGAGGGAGAGGAGAGGAGAGGAGAGGAGAGGAGAGGAGAGGAGAGGAGAGGAGAGGAGAGGGAGAGAGGGAGAGGGGGAGAGAGGGGGAGAGAGGGTGAGAGAGGAAGAGAGAGGCAGAGAGAGGGAGGGGGGGAGCAGGAGGAGGAGGGGAGGACAGGGAGGAGGAGTAACAGGAGCAGAAGTAGTGGTAGGAGGAGGAGGAGGACCAGTGTAAACCCAAGACGCATCAACGATTTTTCAATGAACCCTCCCTCCGATTTCCCTCTTCATGGGTCTCTTCAAAATGGATATTCATTGTGGGACATGCCTCATTGGAAGACAACCGTTTGAGAGTCCTCAGTCGCGCGAACACACAAATCTTGGGACATCAGCACCGCGAATCAACGCGACTGGTGCGTCCAGACCATCCTAAATCGTGCCAGGAAAAAGTTCATGGGACTTCAACACAGCGAATCAACGTGAGTGTTGCGTCGTGGCGATCGCAAATCGTGCCAGAGCGCAGCTTTTCGGACTTCAGCCATACGAATACTTGATACAGTTGCAAACTGTTGCAATGAAGGTGCTCAGCGCCAAGGCGAGAGCCATGTGTTGAAAAGGAACCGCCATCCATTATTGAAAATGCTGCATTTGTTTAAGACGAATGCACGCGGCACTAAGGCGAGAGCCGCATCCTGGAAACCGCCCGCCCTCCATCCGTGAAACTGCTGCAATTTGGTTAAGACATTTGTGCGTGGCGCAAGGCGAGAGCCAAGTTTGGGAATCACCCGCCCTTCATCCGTAAAGCTGCTGCAGGTTTCAAGCTTCGGGATCATGGTGATGAAGTCTCCAGCGAAACGCCCGGCCCGCCCTCCGGACACGTTTGGGAGTGCGACAGGGGGGAGTGATTTTACACAGGACAGTGATGGAGGGAGGAGGGAGGAGGCAGGAGGCAGAAGGGAGGAGGTAGGAGGCAGGAGGCAGAAGGGAGGAGGAGGGAGGACGGAGGAGGCAGGAGGGAGGAAGGAATGAGGAGGGAGGAGGGAAGAGGGAGGAGGGAGAAAGAAGGAGGGGGTAGGGAGAAGGAAGGGGGAGGGGGCAGGAGGAGGGAGGGAGCGGCGAGGAGGGGACACGCCGAAGGCGCATGGGGCTCCGCGACCACGAGTTCTTCGAGTGGATCGCGGGCGCGGCTGTGCAGTGCTCGCAGGCGGGCCTCCGGCCCCTTCTGCTCTGGGACCCTGGAGCAGGGAAGACTATGGATCAGGAGGGAACAAAAACACACAGACACAATTAGTCGTCGATCTATGGGAAAATATGGGAAGTGGGGGGGAAGAAAAAAATCGAGAAAATACAGGAAAACATGAGGAATCCTGTTATTTGTGTCTATTTATTTGTGTGTCCCAGGGCCCCTTCAATGGAAGAAGGAAGGGACGGGAAGGATGCGGAGGAGGAGTTTTGGAAGGCGGATGGGGAGAGTGTAGAGGGGGGGGCAAGCTAGGTACGCTCACACCACATCTGACATCCTACCTCTCCCACCCATTCCTTCCCACTGCGCTGCATCCTTGCATACCCACCGATCAGGTGTCCTGAAGGAGCTTTGTCCCGAAATGGAAGATGCAGGATTTTACTGATCGTCTACTGCGCATTCGCACAGGAGGGGATGTTGCACATTACAGGAGGAAGAGGCGGCTGAGCAGCAGGAGGAAGGGGAGGAGGAGGAGGAGGAGGCAGCAGCACTAGCAGCAGCAGTAGCAGTAGAGTGAGCAGGATAGGCGGAACAGCCAGATGACAGAGCAAGACGGAAATGGGGAAAGCCGGGGGACGGCAATGATCGGATCTAGAAATGTGGCCCGCATTGGAGCGAGAGCGCCGTTCTGAACGTCAGGAGCAAAGCAGCGACTGTGGCAAACGCTTCAACGGGAGGGTACTGTTTTGAAGGATTGAAGATGTTCCGAACAGGAAGAACATGAAACACTAATGTTTGGAATCTAGTGTGTGGTAGTACTCATATTGCGTCAGTGTGTAGGGGAGTAGGGAAACGGGAGACTAACAAGCGGCAGCTACGCGTATGAATAAAAGTAGTTTCGAGTCGTATTAATGAACGATCCGTGCAGGTGCGCGGAGCAGCTAACAAATGCCTTTCGTGAGAGAGCGGTGTTGGTCGTCAATCAGGTTCCTGTGAGATGAGTCCAGGAAGGCAGACTGTGATGCGGGGACGCCGCTCCCACTATCGCTTGAGAACATCGCTGTGACCGGTCAAGGCCTCATGATCGGTGATGGGTCGTGCGCTGCAAAGCTAGTGCGGATCGGGCTCCATGGCTCGGCTCCATTGCTCCTGCTGCCAAATTCAGATGGTGCAGCGGCGCAGTTGGTATGCGCACACGCTTGTGCCAGGGAGGGCCGTCTGGTATGGTATGCATGTTCTTCGCATGTTGGCCCTGTCAGTAGCGAGCTCGTCTTGAACCGATTCCGATCACAATGATGCTATCCGAGCTGACCCGATGAAGGAACTGCCATACGCTGGAGGGCGTGGGCGAAAGACAATGCCAGCCTAATTTCACCGCTTTGCGGGAGCGGCTGCGGGTCGTCTGTCTCTTATGTAATTTAGAACGTGCGTGATTGGAAGAGGAGGAGGAGGAACGCATAAGCGGGGGGGGGGGGAAGACACGAGGACGGCACACAGTACAAGGCTTCTGGCTTGAAGGTGCCGGAGCGCTTGGGCAAGCAAGTAGAAAGCCTTCTCTGGGTCTAGCCCCGAACTCTTCGTGAAATTTTGTACGAAGACTTCCCGTTTGGACGGGTCTCGCACGTGTTCCATAATGTCTTTGTCCGACGTGAAAGCACGTGAAAGGTAGCTGCGCAGGCACGATGCCCCTGCGGGCACGTTGCCCATGCATTCTCAGGTCTGCCCTGCCCCCGCTTGAGCGACGCTGTGGCCGAGCGGATCGACCCATCTTGAAACGTATGTTTGTCTCCGAACGTCTTGGTTAGAAGCTCTGCCATTTTTCCGAACCACGTCAACGGATGCCTCTGTGACTGTGCTGAGTACGTACGGTTGCTGGCCTGCACGTGAAAGACCTCTTTGTTATACACGTGCGCGAGAAAAGCCAGGGGGGGACATGCAGAATCTTCCGTAAGCATCTGGCTTGCAAGCTGCCGAGTCTTTTCCGCTGGGTTTGGTTTGGCCACGCGGCATTCAGATAATATATAGGTTTGTATATCATCAGAGCTTGAACAATCTCCTATTTCTGGCACTTTTTGATATCGGTATGTTTCCAAGCTCTCTCATGTTTGCAGAATTCACCTCATGCGGCCCCAATTCGTCGATTCAAATCGGTACTCAAGTGCCCCGTGTTGTACAACGTTGCCCCGAAATAAGTCGAGCTGTGCTTTTCTACATTTGGTTGCCCTGCCAGTGTCTGCAACTTCACGTCGCGTCTTATCTCCATCATTTGGAACTTATCCCAGTCCAGTTCCATTCTTACCCGGGCCCCTGCTAGAACAACACTGTCCAGTAATTGTTGTAGGCCTTTTGGCCCATCCCATTGATCAGCGTGTCGTCAGCGGACAGCAGGAGTGACGAATTCCCCAATGACATCTCAGTTTTTGCTTTGTCTCCCAGATTGCTGACGGCATCTCGCATCACAATTGTCATCAGCATGATAGAGAAACATGGTGCTCAAGGGCGTGCGCAGATGTCGCTGGCATTTCTGACTCTGGCGGAGTTCGGAGGCAGGAGGGTCGCAGCCCGTTGATTTCTATCTGGTCGGTGTGCCAGTTGGTCGACGTGCCAGTGGCTACATGATGTGGCCTAGGATGAGACGGACAATCGCGTACGGCCAGACCGAGGTGTACGATCGAGGTCGGTTCGGAGAGGGTACTCTAATGCGCCCTGATGTTTTACGTGTGTGTTGGATGTTCTTTTTTGACCCGAGGAGGATCTCATGTTCTTGAAATAGGTGAGTTTGTCTTAGGTCCAGCCGTAGTTCACTCTGACTGAGTCGTTACAATTCGCATCGCATTTTTCGCTCCCATCTGGGTCTCCGTGTGCAGCAGGTGGATTGAGCAGGAATGTGGTGGCAGATGGCTGAACCGTCGGTGTGAACGGTGCCCTCTGCGCTCCAGTACACCCATGCGTAGTCACGTGACTGCCGAGACGGGTGCGGAAAAGACCGACAGCAGCAGCGTCAGCAGGAGGAGCAAGAGAAGCATGAGGATCAACATCCATGTGAGGACCAGTATGCCTATCAACAAACGGCGGCAACCTGTAGAAATGAATCGACGCTTCAATGAATGAGCTGCGCGCGTTCGCGGAGCAGCTAAGATCTCTGCCTGGCAGCTGCTGTTGGTCATGGCGCTGTGTGATGAGTCCAGGAAGGCCGACCGATGCGGGGACGCCGCTCCCAGCATCGCTTGAGAACATCGCTGTGACGGGCCACGGCCTCATGATCGGTGATGGGTCGTACGATGCAAGATTGACGCGGAGCAGGCTCCACTGTCTCTGCTGCCAGATTGAATTGGTGCAGAGGCGCAGTTGGTTTGCGCCCACGCGTCCACTGGCATGGCGGGCCAGTATCTCATCCAGATCTGATTCATTCATATTGCCAGCTTTGGTCATCATGATGCGCATGTTTTCGCTTATTAGCCCTGGCGGCAGCGAGGGATCTAAATGCGCATGTCATATGATGTCAGGTTCCGTCAGGTTATACTGATGCTATGCGAGTGGAGATCGCGCGCACAGGTCGGTTCGTTTTCTTTCAGGGGCCGCAGGGTCGCAGCCCTTTGACTTCTCGTGTCCCGCAAGTCCGCGCGCCGATGGCTGCATGGCGAGGCGCGGGCGAGACTGATCATCGCATAGTTTACGCTTACTGAGATGTGACGATTGTCATCGCATCTTTCGCTCCAATCTAAGCCTCCGTATGCCGTAGGTGGGCTGAGCAGGAATGTAATGGCAGGTGGAACCGTCGAAATCCGGTGTTGCTGTATGTATCCTATGTGGGAGGAGGAGGAGGAGGAGGAGGAGGAGGAGGAGGAGGAAGAGGAGCGATGTCAGGAGCGTCAGCACGAGGAGCAAGAGGAACAGGGGCAGCTGGAGGAATATGCGGAGCGTTGCACTTGAAGACAAGCGGCGGGCAGCAAGTGCCTCTCAGGGGACTGTGCTGGCATTCGACCAGTGTGGTGAGGAGTCCAGGAAGGCCGACTGTGATGCAGGGGCGCTGCGGCAGCATCGCTTGAGAACATCGCTGTGACGGGCCACGGCCTCATGATCGGTGATGGGTCGATGCAAGATTGACGCGGAGCAGGCTCCACTGTCTCTGTTGCCAACTGGGAGTGGTGCAGAGGCGTAGTTGGCTTGCGCCCACGCACGTTCCGGGTCGACCCTGGCGGTAGCCACCCCGTCCAAGTGCACATTTCGTTCGTGCAACGTTCTGGTTGTATGCAAGTTATGCAATTTGGGGTTTACATTCCGTGGCATTCACGATGTGTAAGTTGGGCTCTACTGGCTGCGAAGTCTACGCTACGCAACTTGGGGCACGCGAATGTTGACAGCAGGGAGAACCTGAACAGGATTGCATTCGCGAGAGCGCAAGGCTGCAGCTAGAGCTGGGCTGAAACTGGAGCTGGAGCTGAGCTGGAGCTGGAGCTGGGCTGTTGATATGGTTGGAGCTGGGGCTGGAGCTGAATTTGGCACTGGAGATGGAGCTGGAGTCGTGCTACGTGCCATGACTGAAAAATATCGGTATCGTGCCCGTGTTTTTTGTTGTCAGCGGGCGCGTGACCTTTGGAGCATGGGTGGTCTGCTGTATTTGCGACCTTGTATTATCTTGCACAGGGTGTCTAGAGCTCCGACCACTTTCTTTCGGCACGGCACCGCCCCCCCCATCCCGCGCTCCACCTCCGCATCACCCCGACCACCAGCCAGCGCGCTCCCTCCGCCCCGACCTTTTTATTTCGGCACGGCACCGCCCCCCCATCCCGCACGCCCCCTCCGCATCACCCCACCCACCAGCCAGCGCGCCCCCTCCGTCCCGACCCCTCGGCACGGCACCGCCCCCCATCTCGAACGCCCCTTTTGTATCACCCCGCCCACCAGCCAGCGCGCCCCCTCCGCTCCGACCTGTTTATTTCGGCACGGCACCGCCGCCCCCATCCCGAGCGCCGCCTCCATCACCCCACCCACCAGCCAGCGCGCCCCCTCCGCCCCGA